GGGGCCAGCACTTCCATCTCCAGGGTCTCCAGCTCCAACGCTTGCAGGAACACCAGCTCCAGCAGATCTAGTACCTCTAGCAGCTTTAGCTCCAACACCACTCCCAGCTCCAGCAGCTCCAGTACTTTCAGAACTAGCACCTCCGAGACCAGCGGCTTCAGCACCTCCAGCTCCAGCAGCACCTCCATCTCCAGAGCTCCAGTCTCTCCACTACGAGCACCTCCAGGACCAGCGGCTCCAGCACCTCCAGCACCTCCAGCTCTAGTAGCACCCCCAACTCCAGCAGCTCCAGTACCTCCAGTACAAGCACCTCCGGGACCAGCGGCACCAGCACCTCCAGCAGCTCCAGCTCCTGTAGCACCTCCAGCTCCAGGGCCTTCATCGGCAGGCCCCGCAGCTCCAGTAGCACCACTCCGGAGGCTCCACCGCCAAGCAAACCATTCGCGCAGCTACAGTGGAGAGAGGGGCTCCCGTCGAGACAAGACACATGTAGGACCTCTAGGCTCAGCACACTCGAGCTCAGCACCCCCAGGCTCAGCACCCCAAGGCTCAGCACCCTCAGGCTCCGCACGCTCAGGCTCAGCACCCCCAGGCTCTGTACCCTCAGACTCAGCAACCCCAGGCTCAGCACCCCGAAGCTCCGCACGCTCAAGCTCAGCACCCCCAGGCTCCGCACACTCAGGTCCAGCACCCCCATGCCCCGCACCCGCAGGCTCAGCACCCCCAGACGCAGCACCAGAGTCGACAGCTACCTCGACAGGCTCGACAGGGTCTACCTGGGACACACCTGAGAGAGCAGGACTCTGAGGGGGGAGGGTGTCTACCGGAGGAGGACCTGGTGCGAGGAAGAGTGGCGGGGGAGGGAAAGGGGCAGTGCGGTAGGGGAGACAGTAAAATGGAACCGACTCGTTAATCGTGACGTCCAGAGAGGGGAGGACACGGCGCAAGGTGGGGTGGTAAAACTTCCATCCAGGCGCGTCAGGGGGGAAGCCAAGGAAGACACAGGGAACGGTGCGGGAGGAGAGCTTGTCCGCGGAAGTATCGCGGACAAAGGCACGACATCCCCAGACCCGAAAAACCGACGCATCGCCAACATCTCCCGACCAACGCAGTGTCGGCGAGGTCTCCGGCAAGGAGACACGGGGCCAGAGGTTGAGCTGATGCGCAGCGTAGCGGACCGCAAACGGCCACAGAAAATGGCGGTGTGGCGGCACGTAGGCAGGGCGCGCAGGCAAGGTCTGTCACTCACTGCTTTTCGTACAGGCTTCTCCATTTTCCTTCACTGTCGACTCGATAATCATTACTCCTTCACCGATCCCTGACTTCCCTCCTTTAGCAAGTCAGCTTCTGCCAATAGATAACCCTGTTCAGATTCATCCCACGTCGAGCATCTTTTAAACTTCCTGTTGTTGCTGTCACACCTTGTGGTGCATCACTTTCACTTGACTCAAGCTTAGCAGTATTACTGCTTCTCTTGTTCCTCCTTCGCCCGTGCTGCAAGTGCAACAATACCTCCCACCATTTCTTGCACCCACTGCACCAGCTCCTTGAACACTGTGACCGATGCCGATGCATCCATGTTCCCCACGGCTTCACTCATGCCAATCGCCTTTCTTGTGTCAACCTTGCCACGGACAGTTTCTTCTTGCCTCAGACAACTGTGGATACACTCCTTGACAACGGTTCCACTCGGCTTGAGCTTGTCCTTAGAGATTTGTGGACCCTTGGTACATGTGGTTGTCTTGAGCAGTCCATTGTTCTTGCCAAGACCAGACCTGTCAGCAGTTTTCACCCCGGCGTTATCTTGTTTCTTGCTCCTTTGCACTTGACCCGCACAAGTAGCTTCACTTGCCTGCTTGCCCAGACCCTCAGCTTCACACGACTGTAGTGATGGCACAGCTTTGCACACCCTCACCCTCGTAGCAGCCTTACTCCCCCTGAATGCAACCCTCCTCTTGTCTTTGGATTTCTTCAACTTCAAGCAGGACGCAATGACCTTTAGCTGCTCAACCAGCTGCCATCCCATCTCCTTCAACTCGTTTATCTCATCCATGCTAACTGTCATTGACTCCCCCTCGACGATACGCCCCTTCTCAGCAGTTTGTGCTGCAACTTCTCCCATGGCACAGCAGGTACTCGCCACAGCTCACTTTCCGAGTTCCACTCATCACGTAGTTCCCAAAGCACTTTGCTCCCGAACCTTCCTTTGAAGCGACCAGCTTTGCTCTCGGTGTTCACTCCGGCAACAGCTAGCTTCCTTAGCGATATCAGGTTCGCCGTCATTTCTGGTACGAATAGCACATTCTCAATAATGATCGACTTCCCGTCAGCTCCCAAGAATAAAGCCCTTCCCGCACTTATCACTCTCATTGCATGCCCGGATCCGGACTTCACTTCCGAAATGGGTGTTACACCTATACCTTACAGTAGTTCCACACACGGTGTCATTGACCAAGTGGCTCCAGTGTCCAGGATCCAAGTGCGTCGTCCAGCTTCCTTTCGTGCTCCTCCCACACGTGTTGTCTCTTCCGCTGTTACATGAAAGAACTGCCCTGCTGCTCTTCCTTTATAGTGATTCAGTTCTTATGCACGATCCGCTACCATGTCGACGCCGTTTTTCTCGCCTTCGTCCCTGCCATTGTTCAGATAACTTGGGCTCCACCAGTCTGGCCGTTTGTGACACTGAACCCAAGTGCGTCCCGGCTTTTGACAGTACCGGCAGTTTCCCCTGAAGCCTCCAAATCCTGCCCTGTAGCTACCGTGCCATGCAGCTTCACTATTCGAGCTCTCGTGATTGTGCGCACTGTCCCTGTTCCCAATGAATCCGTCATGTTCGCTTCTTGGTTTCTCTTCATCAGACTCCCATTGTCTTGCCATGTTGTCAGAACGCTTATCACCACGCATGCTCTTAGACCCGTTACGCCTGTTTTCCAACTGCTTCCCTGCATGCCGTAGCCACTGTTGCCATCATCCACATTGTTTATCTGACGCCTTCGATAATCCTCCTCCGGGATCTTGGTCCTCACCCATTCGAGAGAGCGCGCTGGTAGGGCGCGCGGCACGGCGGCGAGCAGCGCGCGGGCAGGGCAGGGCGCGTAGCAGCAAGTAGCGCGTGGGCAGGGTAGGGCAGGGTGTGCGCGGCAGCGTGACGCAGAGCAGGGCAGGGTGGCGCGACACTAACCGGGCAGCGCGGCTCGTGGGGTAGCTCGGTTCGGTGGGCCCTGAAAAAAAAGGTCCTAGGCTAGGACCTGCTCTGAAACCATGTCAGAAGTACGAACAGGAATTACCCAAGTACTTGGGTACGAAGTACCCAAGTAGGAAACCCTAATTGGGTTGTACCCCATATGGGCTACCCCACGACAACCTACACAATAAGCAGCATATAAGTTTGACAGTTGCTGCTTGTTTTGCGTCCAGCATTGCAAGGGTCTTTTTCATGCGCTTCACATTGTTAGAGACTAAGGACGGAGTCTAGAACGTTTAAGGGCCGAAATATCTCAAAATCGTTTGTCTATAACTCTGGACAGAAAACTTGATTCCAGAGAAACGCCGTCGACAAAATTTCCACAGTTAAAACTTCACCAAACTCATATATTTCATAGCTCTAGACCATGGCTACAATTCCCAATTTGAATCACACAAAAAGGTGAACTATTTCTTGAGTTATGAATTTCGGCCCACTAGGGGGTATGCTGCCATAGAAATTTAACTCAATCACAATTGTCTCACAAGTATCACACAAGAAAGTTAGAGTAGCAAAGAACCAGGTAGGAGGGGATGAGGAGGACGAGAGGGAAGGTCCCAAGATAGTCCCCAACCAAGGAAACCCCATAAGCACAAAAGATTCCCTCCCTATAGTAACATAGTTTTCACCCTTGTCATTTTCCCAACCTCCCAAATTTATCTCACCCAAGTTGGCCACACTTGCCAGCCCAATTTGGCTTCTCTCAACCACTTGTCATCATCTACAGTAACAGGGACGAATTTCCCAACCCCCAAAAGTCTGTACCCCATATTGAGTCACTTCACAACTTCCCAAAGTCGTCGCATCCCAATCAAAACTTCGAACGACTATAACTTCGTCGTTCTTGCTCCGATCGCAACGATTCTTGGTTTGTCAAAAAGCTCTCGAGCAGAGAAGTCATCTCAGATATCTACTCAAGCAAGATAGCATTCACACATACTCAGAAAATCCAAACCACACTAAATACAAATTCTTGCAGACTCTCACACCACGCATGCAACGCACGAACATATGATGGGAGGCAGACAGACGTGAATGCAAATGATAGCATCACATAACACACATGCCTTTGCGCATGCTGTGAAAACAAAGAACGAGGATGAATGACTATGAAGTGAGGAGAATACAAATAGGAAACCCTAATGTGTTGTACCCCCTATGGGATACCCCACTATAGCCTACACAAACAAGTAAGCTATATGTTCTGACACACCCCCATAGGCAAAGTGGGGGAGAACAAGGGGTCACAAGACCAGTCAAGCAAAGCAAAGCAAAGCTCAGGGTGGATCACAAAGTCACCACGCATTCCGAGCACAAGTTCAAAGGCCACAAGGCCAGTTCACATGCAAGATCATATATAGAGATATACAAGAGCAAGAGTATATATATGCGAAGGTACAAGCAAGGTCAAGAGGAGAGCAAGTGAGGCAAGACAGGCACAAGACCCAACTGCGTGCAGCAACGCTGATGATCACAAGGCGCAAGTGCCTTGGTGAAGACATCAGCAGTGTTGGCCTCAGAGGCCACGTACGCAAGTCGCAGCTGTCCACGCTGCTGTAGCTCACGAGCAAGAAAGTAGCGAAGAGCAATGTGCTTCGTTCTGTGCTCCAGTCGCTGCTCTCGACACAAGGCCAGCATGGCCTTGTTGTCTACGTACAGGACTGGAGGAGAACGAGGCTGCTCTCCAAGGTCGGTCAGCAGGTAGGTGAGCCAGCGTAACTCCTGTGCAGCCATAGCCCCAGCGTAGATCTCAGCCTCACAACTGGAGCCGAGAACAGAAGACGAGCGGGTAGCCCGCCACGAGACAGAGCCGGAACCAAGGCTGAAGGTGTAACCCTGTGACGACCGCTGCGTAGCCTGGTCGTCAGCCCAAGAAGCGTCTGCGTGCCCAGTGAGGACCACTGGACTGCGCCCTCCAAGCACTAGCCCCATGCCCGACGTACTGCACAAGTAGCGCAACACCCTCTTCGCTGCAGCCATGTGCTCTGGTCGGTGTCTCCCAGGAGCAACCAAGCGTGCGAGAATGCTAAGAGGGTATGCGAGGTCAGGTCGTGTGCAGGTCATCAGGTACATGAGGCAGCCAACAAGCTCTGCAAACGGGCCACTCGACTCTACGGACTCATCCGAAGGCAGAGCTGAGAGCGAGTGGCGAGTAGGCAGAGGAGTGGCCTGAGGCGAGGAGTACGTGAAGCCGAAGCGCTGAAGGACCTGCTGCACCATGTGTGACTGAGTCAGGGTAATGGTGCGCTGTGCTCTGTCCCGGGTGATCTGCAAGCCAAGGTAGCTGCGCAGTTCACCCAGGTCAGTGCACGTGTGTCTCTTCTGCAGCTCGGACTTCACGTAGGCGAGTCCAGCAGTGTCAGCTGTGGCAAAGACCAAGTCGTCGACGTACACGAGGATGTAGAACGGCAGCAAAGAGGTGTCGGTGCGCAGAAACAGCGACGGGTCGGCAGTGGAAGGAGCAAACCCAAGTGCCGCGAGCGTAGTCCTCAGTGTGTCGTGCCACTCACGTGGCGCCTGGCGGAGACCGTAGACTGGACGCCGGAGACTCCACTGGGTACCAGGAGGGAAAGACCCAGTGAAGCCAGGTGGGCGACGCAGCCAGATCTCCTCGTGCAGGCTGCCCTGCAAGAAAGCTGTGCTGAAGTCGAGAGAGTGGAGCTCGTAGTCACGGTGAGCAGCAACGTGCAGCAGAACCCGAAGAGTGGTCATCTTCGGGGTGGGGGAGAAGGTCTGAAAGTAGTCAACCCCCTGCCGCTGACTGAAGCCACGAGCCACGTAACGCGCCTTGAAGACAGGCGGAGAACCCGGCGGCCGCTTCACCCTGAAAATCCACATGCCACTGACGATGTTCGCCCCAGGAGGGGGAACAGCGTCAACGTAGGTGCCTGTGGACTTCCAGGAAGCCATCTCTGCATCCATAGCTGCCTGCCACTGAGAGGAGTAGGGACCCTCTATCGCCTCCGCGTAAGAGCGCGGAGTCGGGATGTCTGGTGCATCCGGGTCTCCCTCAGGGGCTAGCAGTACAGACGCGAGACGAGGTGAAGCGGCGGCCAGACACTGGAACTCCTCCTGCCTGTCCTCAAGGACGTCCGTGCCAAGGGCACACTCACCCCCGACGGACGGAGGACAGGCGGACTCAGACTCAGTGACAAGACGAGCAGCGTAGTCTAGACGACAGCGCGCAGCAAAGTCGACAAGCTCAGTGACAAGGGCAGACGCAGCAGACGACTCGAAGGAGGGGTCAGTGACAGCAGTAGCCAGGAGACGCGTGACAGTAGGACTGGCAGCACGAAGAGAGTCCGACTCCGGGTCGGCAAGAGCAGGAAGAGAGGAAGCAGGAGGAGAAGGCAAAGGGGCACGCAGAGGAGCAGTGGACGGACGCAGTGACATCCGGTGCGTGCCAGGGACAGGAGGAGGACGCTGACGCGACCCGCGACCACTAGCGCGCTCAGTACGAACAGGCGACACAGGACGAGACGCAGGCTCACGACGCTCAGTAAGACCTCCAGTCGGACCAGTGTAGGGAGAAGGAGCAGGCAAAGGGGAGGCAGGCTGTAGCTGTGGCTGTGACCGGACAGGCTACGGACCCTCTAAGGGAGGAGGAGGAGGTGTAAGACCAAGAACCTGCTGCAGGAGCGGAACGAAGTACGGTCGGGGCCGCGCGGCGACGCTAGAAACAGCAGGAACAGCACCAGCAGCCCCGGCAGGTGCACCCACTCCAGCAGCACCTCCAGCAGCACCACCAGAAGCTCCAGAACCTCCAGCCGCAGCACCAGGAGCACTGTCAGTCGGACCGCCAACGGCAGGCTCAGCACCAACACCCTCAGCAGGACCAGCTCCAGGAGAACTCTCAGACTCAGCAGCTCCAGCACCCACAGTACGAGCACCGGCGGGGCGCGCAGCAGCAGTACCCTCTGCAGCCGAAGAACCACCAGCACCAGCAGCACGCCTCCAGCGCCTGGCAAACCACTCACGCAGCTCCTGTGGGGAGAGTGGCTCCAGGCGAGACGAAGCACCCCCAGGCACAGCACCTCCAGGCTCAGCACCCCTAGACACAGCACCCCCAGGCACAGCACCCCCAGGCTCAGCACCCCCAGGCTCAGTACCCCCAGGCACAGCATCCCGAGGCTCAGCACCCCCAGGCTCAGCACCCCCAGACTCGGCACCTCCAGGCTCAGCACCCCCAGACTCCGCATCCCCAGGCTCAGCTCCCGCAGCAGTACCAGAGTCACCAGTGACCTCGACAGGCTCGACCGCGTCTAGCTGGGACACACCTGAAGGGGCAGGACCCTGAGGGGGGAGGGGGACTACCGGGGGGGGACCTGGTACCAAGAAGAGCGGGGGTGGGGGGAGGGACGGAGTGCGGTAGGGGAAGAGGCGGTAGTAGGGTACCGACTCGTCGAACGTGACGTCCTGAGAGGACAGAACACGTCGAGAGGAGGGGTGGTAAAACTGCCACCCAGGGGCGTCGGGGGGGAACCCCAGGAAGACGCAGGGAGAAGCACGAGGGGACAGTTTGTCCGCAGACAGGTCGCGAACAAACGCCCGAGATCCCCAGACCCGGAACGCCGACGCATCGCCAACCTTTCCCGTCCACAGCAGGGCTGGGGAGGTCTCCGGTCGAGAGACCCTGGGGTGGAGGTTGATCTGGTGCGCAGCGTAACTGACCGCAAACGGCCACAGAAAATGGGGAGCAGCCGCATGCATCATGGACGTACGAGCGACGTCCATGACCATGCCAATGCGGCGCTCAGCAATCCCATTCTGCTGTGGTGAGTCCGGAAGCGTGAAGGTCTGACGGATGCCTCGCGCACGACAGTAGGCACTCAGGAGGCCAGAGGAGAACTCTCCGCCTCTGTCCGAGTGCAGACGCAAAACAGGGAAGTCAGAGCCAAAGCTCCTCCGAAGCTGGAGACGAGCTGCGCGGATCCAGTCGATCAACACCTCAGTGACCTCACCCTTGCTGCGCAAGGGGAAGACTGTGGTGTAACGCGAGTAGTCGTCAACCACCAGCAGGAAGTAGCGCTCCTGACCCTGTCCACGGACGCGGGCTGGGCCCCACACGTCCATGTGAAGCGTCTGCAACGGGGCCTCTGTCGGAGGAAACTGGGAGGAGTGAGGGGCAGCACGCTGGCGCCCCTCGACACAGGGGACACACGTGGGGCCAGGGCCCGGAGGAAGGGGAGGGAGAGACCGGGGAAGACCAGACACAAGGACTCGCGAGGCCATGCCTCTGAGCCGAAGCAGAGAGGGGTGGCCAAGGCGGTGGTGCCAGAGGAGGGTCTCGTGAGACAGACGACGGCACGAGCAGGGGGCAGACTCAGGACCAGACCTGGACGCTGCAGAAAACACCTGACCAGACGAAGGGACCCTACCAGACTCAGCACCTGGAGGAGAAGCAGTGGTCAGTGTGTACAGGCTCGACCCTGGCCGACGTGTAAACGTAGCCAGGTGGCGACCTGTATCCGCCTCCGTGCAGTGGGTCACCCGCTGACGAGCAGGGGTGAACTGGTGGACACCCGCATCCTGGAGGTCAGCACCACTCACCAAGTTCGTCGAGAACGAGGGGAGGTAAAGACCAGTCAGGGTGCCAGAGGGGGCCGCCGGACACGGGAGGACAGTGGAGAAGCGAGACAGGACAGGCCCCCCAGAGGGGTCAGCCAGGGACACCGCAACCGGCCGACTCAGCGGCGTAAGAGTGGTGCGGTCCCGAAAGAAGGAGCGAGACGCTCCAGAGTCAAGGGTGAAGGTGTGAGAGGCCGAAGCCGACACAGTACCTGAGAGGGCAGACTCACCAGCACCTGAGAGCACAGACGCACTGGCACCTAGAGCAGCAGCCTCACTAGTACCTGACGCGGCAGTACCAATGCCCGGGTCGGGCGGGAAACACCGGTAACAGTCATCCTCATCACTACCAATCGCAGCATACATAGCAGAGAGAATATCATCAAAATCAAGATCATAAATAGCTACACCAGCCCTAGACAGCTCTCCCCAGCGGGGGATCTCAGCTGCCTCCGGAAACTGCTGACGCCAGGCGTCAGTCAGGCGGCCAAAGCAGCGGCGGGCTGTGTGGGCGCCTCCACACCTCTCCCCTGCACGGTCACCGGTGCGAAGAACGTAGGGGCAAGGACCAAGCGCACCACCACGCTGACGCTGCGAGTACCACTCACGGAGCTGCTGAGGGGCGGGGACGGTGCGAGAGCGCTGCTGCTGCTGTGGCTGCTGCTGCGGCTGCTGCTGCTGCTGCTGCTGGCGCTGACCACCCCCAGAGCTGCTCCGCTGGGACGAGCCACTCCGACCCCCGCCTCCACCGCCACCCCCGCCTCCACCGCCACCCCCGTCTCCACCTCCACCTCCCCCACCAGGACCGTCGCTCCCACCGCTCCCACCGCCTCCTCCGCTACCACCTCCGCCGCCACCTCCGCCTCCACCGCCGCCACCAGTACCCCCACTCCCGCCACCACCCCCACCGCCACCCCCACTCCCCCCGCCACCCCCACCGCCTCCTCCACCGCCCCCTCTAGCTCCACCCGCTCCCTTGCCCCCCTTGCCCTTGCCAGAGCGGCGTCTGCCGCTGGGGGCAGACGCCGCGCCGACCGACTCAAAACCAGTGAGGTCGGCCGCAGCGGCAGAGGCGACAGAGGGCAGCAGGGGGGAAGGACCACACCCCTCAAAGATGGGGGTGCGAGGGTCACCCCGAGAGGCCCCTACAGCGACAATACTCTTCTCAGCCGCTAGCAGGGACTCCTCAAGGAGGTCGACAGTGAGAGTGGTGGGACAGACAGAGAGAAACTGGTCCCTAACGACACGAAGGGACTCAGGGAGACGGGTGACGAGAAAGTAGAGAGTGATGTACATGGGAGGAGGGTTCGCAGCGCGGAACTCAGCAGGAAGGGCAGCGCGGTAGCGGGTGTCACTAGCACGGAGGTGGGTAACGAGGTCAGCGACAGTGGGAAAGGAAGCGAGGTCAGGGAAGAGAAACGGTAGCATGAGGCGGCTAAGGGTAGCGGAGGAAGGGGAGGAGTAGCGTGCAACTACAGCGTCGTACAAGGCCTGAGCGGTCTTGCACTGACTAAAGTGGGCACGCTCAGAGGAAGGGAGGGGCGACGCACAGCAAGACGTGCAGCAGCATCGCGGGTCGCCCACTTGGAGCGAACGGCAGAGTCAGCATCAGCAGGTGGGGCAGGGACAGCGCCAGAGACAAAGTCAAAGAGAGAGACCTCATCTATCGCATCACACAGTAAGTACAGCTGCAGGTCTTCAATCCAGACGGCAAAGTCAATGGCCCTCCCCTCAGCGTCAAAAGTAAGAACATTGGGGGTGGCCATGGCAGCAGCTGAAAGTCTCACCGGGCTGGGAGAGTCGGGTAGGTCAGCAGCAGAGGAACACAGCTCAGGAACAGCAGCACGGCTCCTCAGGCGGCTCGGGCGGCTCGGGCGGCTCGGGCGGCTCGGGCGGCTCGGGTGGCTCGGGCGGCTCGGGCAGCTCGGGCGGCTCGGGCGGCACGGGCGGCTCGGGCTGCTCGGGCGGCGGCTCGGCCGCAGCTCAGCGGCGGCTCGGGCGGCGGCTCAGGTGGCCCGGGCGGCGGCTCAGGCGGCGGCGGCTCGGCGGCGGCTCGGCTGCTGCTGGGCGGCTTGGCTGATGCTGGGCGGCTCGGCGGGGCCGCGTAGCAGAGGGCGGCGGGGCCGCGTAGCAGAGGGCGGCGGGGCCGCGACCGAAGAGGGCGGCGGGGCCGCGTAGCAGAGGGCGGCGGGGCCGCGTAGCAGAGGGCGACGGGGCCGCGTAGCAGAGGGCGGCGGGGCCGCGATCGAAGGGCGGCAGGGCCGCGTAGCAGAGGGCGGCGGGGCCGCGTAGCAGAGGGCGGCGGGGCCGCGTAGTAGAGGGCGGCGGGGCCGCGTAGCAGAGGGCGGCGGGGCCGCGTAGTAGAGGGCGGCGGGGCCGCAATCGAAGGGCGGCGGGGCCGCGTAGCAGAGGGCGGCGGGGCCGCGACCGAAGAGGGCGGCGGGGCCGCGTAGCAGAGGGCGGCGGGGCCGCGTAGCAGAGGGCGACGGGGCCGCGTAGCAGAGGGCGGCGGGGCCGCGATCGAAGGGCGGCGGGGCCGCTAGGGAAGGGCGGCGGAGCCGCTAGGGGAAGGGCGGCGCAACGGGCCGCTAGGGGCGACACGACGGGTCGCTAAAAAAAAAACGCGCCTCGGGGCGCGGTTCGGTGGGCCCTAGAAGTAGTCCCTAGGAGGGAACCTGCTCTGATTCCATGTGAAAACAAAGAACGAGGATGAATGACTATGAAGTGAGGTGAATACAAATAGGAAACCCTAATGTGTTGTACCCCCTATGGGATACCCCACTATAGCCTACACAAACAAGTAAGCTATATGTTCTGACACATGCACCATCACCACCTCCTTGGCTGGAGGTCTCTTCTTTGCACCTATCCAAAGCGCTACAAGGGCGGGCCAGTCAGGGTCGTACTTCAGCAGCGAGATGGCCATCAAGTCGCCAAGCTTAGCGTCATTGAGGTTGCCGTGCAGCCAGCTCTTAATATTGTTTTAGCGGAAAAAACCTTGCTCGCACTCCACGGTGCTCAGGGGCAGAACAGCGACCGCCATCCAAAGGCGGACCAAGTTGGGGTAGGCCGTGCACCAGTCGGGCGAGTTGAGCATCTGCTTAAGGCCGTCCTGGAAGCTCAGCTACTGGTGATGCGTCGACATGATCGTGGTGAAGCAGCTGATCTCCTTCTGTGCCCTTGACCAGGTGACTCCTAGGGGCGGGGTGTTAAATAGAAACAGAGATATAAAGAGAAGACAAAGTCAGTGTTGTTGATGAAAAGTAAACGGTCACGCATTCAACTTAAATTATGTAGAAACTAACAACACCAACAACTCCAGCAAGCACAAATATAACTGAAGACGTACCACGCAGGGTGTCAGGGTCGGATGGTTTGCATTTAAACAGGTTACAAAGAGCCTTCAGGCACTGCAAAAACCTATGCTGCCACTTCGAGAGAGATTTCGGGTATGTCCCCTGCATGAACAGCTTGGCGCCATCAAGAGAGCCCAGATCCTTCATGCAGCTCTCCAAGCGCTTCAGCAGCTCCTTCACGTACGCCTTCGCCAGTGCGATGCAGTCATCCATGCTCCCACCAGAAAGTTGACCCGCTATCTTTCGTTCGTGCAGACTGTACTCATGAGTAGTCGGCGTCCCGTTTGAGTCGGTGCTCGTCACCTTCACTTGCCTCTTAGCCGACGAGCCATGCTTCGCCAGGAAGGCGCTCAACTCGTTGTTGCCATCCCCAAAGTCTTCTGCGTCGCTCAGGTAACGGTTGCGGAGGGTGAGCCGAGTGTTTTTTACCATCTGCAGCACGTGTATCACATCGATTTGCCACACACACATGAGAGGCAGTGGATAGATACAAGGGTCAAAAGTTATATACGGTTCAGTTAATCAATACCAGCGGTGGAACAACAAGAGGCGAAACCTATACCTGCCGTTGTTGGAACTGGAGGTTGAGTACGTTGAGCTCCTTCAACACATCAGCCAAGAAAAAGAGAAGGAAATGGAATTTCAAGCTGGTTACCAGGTTGTACGCCTCCTTGTTCTCCTCGTACAACAGTATTATAGCCGCTGGAAGGTTGTCAGCCAGACGCTGAACCGCCTGACCACGTGAAAGCCAGCGGATGCTGTGGATGCCCTGCAACTCCAGGTTGGTTCTACAGAGCACCTCCTGCAGCTCCTTGAAGCGCGAGTGGACGTTGATCGACCATCCAAGGAGCTCCGCTAATGAGCGGACGACGCGATCGACAACGTCAAGGTCAGGGTAGGCCTCAGCTGCATCCTTTGCCACCAACGCTTCTCTGAAACAAAACAAAAACAACAATAGGTTAAGTATACATGCACAGCATAAATGGTAAGCATAAAAAGCCTTATGTACAAACCTGTGCGTGATGCAGTGGAACCCGGCGAGGTGTGCCACCAGGCCCAGCTGAGAACCGACCATGACGCTTGCACCGTCAGTGCTGATGCCATTGATGAGCTCAAGGTCGATCTCGGTAGACTCTAGATGGTTTAGAAGGACTGCTTGCAGGGAAGCAACATCACACTGCTCAACGGTTAGGTGCGCGTAAAAATCAGTGACGGGCGTGTTGTTGCGCAGGAAGGACAAATAGGCAATAAGGTGCTTCCCGCGCCGATGGTCCGTGCTCTCGTCCAACTGTATGCCCAGGTAAGGACTGTCCCGGATGTGCTTCATTTGTTGAGCACAGAGGTAGGTGACGGGCGTCTCAACCAACTGCGCAAACCCGTACCTGCAAGGACCAGCAAAAAGGTAATTAGTACGGTGGTTTTTCTAAACATCATGCTACCAAAAAAGAGTACTTACTTGCTGTAGTAAGTGCCAGTTTCCTTCAGAGGCCTGTCGAGCGTGCCCATCTCTTCCATGAACTGGATCAAAGTCACAAATAGCACAATGGGTGAGTCGCTTCTGCAGATAAATATGACAGTTGCCATTAGCTTAGCCATTCTCTTAGCATTGGCATCACCATTCTCGAAGTCAACGATCGACTTCTAAGCAGCAATCTTGCCATCCCGCAGCTCTTGGCGATCAACTGCGGCTTCATGCTTGATAGAATGTTGATGTTTCCTCATAGTTTGCCATTGAATGCCGAGGCCACCCTCCTCGTCGCGGCCGTACTAGTAGCTGGGGTCTCCGTGCACCATGCAAATTAAACACCTCATGCAGGGTTGACCCCATGAGGTTTGCGAGATGATGAGCCACGGGAAGTGCTTCAACCATTTCTCCTTTGATTCTGCTGCCACTACTCAACGGTCAACGCGCGGATAGTTGTCGTCAGCAGCGGCGGTGGAGTTTGAAGGGCCTGGATGAGGTGTGCTAAGCGGGGGACAGTAGCTGGGGGGACATCTGCATTGGGACGG